CGAAACTGCCTCGCGAAGATCGTTCGATGTGGCAAGGGCGGAGTCCCGGGCGATGACCCGCGAAAGTTGAATTCGAATCTGAGGCTCACGCTCGGATAGGTCGCGGGCGATGGTGGCGAAAACGGGGATAGCGCGAGTAAGCTCGCTGTTGGACCTGTCAAAGCAATACGAGGATCCCAAGCGAAGCATATCGTAGAACATGGCTGCTATGGTATGAGCGATCGCCGACTTACCCGACCCCGCCGGCCCATAGAGCAGAAACACGCGACGAGCGTCAAGCGGATCGTTGATCCAGTCGGCTATAATCTGAAGAATTGTCCGACGAGTCCCTGGAAGGCATCTCTTGTCTCTGTTAAACCGAGAACCTCTGGCGCAGGCTTCTTCCAACCGCTGCATCTTGACGTCCGCGGCTGATGATAATCGATGGTCAACGCGGCGAAGGACAAGCAGAAGGGTTCCTTACCGATCTCTTCGACGGCGTCCAAGACCCTGTGAACGACGAGATCGACGTTCCCAACGGCGATGGCTGTTCGTATCGTGGATCCATCGAGGAGCTGCGACTTGAGCTCTGCGAACTTGGCTTGGTATTCCTTCACCATCGCTGGCGCCGCTTGGGCTGGATTGACGAGGTTCTTCCAGGCATTCGACGCCGTTCGCGGTACTGTTATCAACGTCACGGTCACGTCGAGGACGAGCGATGGTTCCCAAACTCACAGAAGTTCTTGTTTTTCGCGTAGTCGTGTATGAACCAGCCGCATTCGGTCGTCTGCTGAGCGAGTGCCGTGAGAAGCTTCGCCGCGGATTTGATGCCGTCCAAAGGCTGGGCCTGATCCATGAAATCGTATACGTTCTCGAGGGTGTCGAGGAGGTCGCGGATGGATTGGTCGAGTTTGACCTGCCCGATGATGGTCTATAGACAGAAGCCGTTATGGAACGCGCGTCGGACTAGTATGTGTGACTTGCCTTCTGCACGATCGAGAGAACGTTCCACGCCATGGATGCGAAGGGATGGATCTATCACCGCGGCCGAGAATGAGCTCTGAATCACGCAAAATCCAAACCACGAATGATCACCTCGGCAATCTTGTCGACAAGCTCTGTGAACTGCTTAAGACGCCTGAACAACGGTTCCCATTGCTTTCGTGACGAGGCCAGCCCTTGCGCCAGGTCTTTCCGTTCGTCGACTGCCGCCGCGCCTCGTTCCACCAGTGTATCAGATTGCATGGTGGCGACCTCTTTCTTGGCCTCATCAATGGCTCGCCGCGCGACGGTCTGCTCCGATGGTCTAAGCCCTCCGGCTTCTGCGATTTCGCGATCGGAGATTTGCTGTGTGTAACGGATGTCAGGCGGTGACTCTGCTTGCCACAACGATGCAACTGTACCGTCAGATCGTCCGGAGGCGAGCCGATGTCGTTGGTCTGCTGCTGTGGTTGAGAGTTTTCGGTCGCCTGCGGTTCGTCAACATCCTGCTCCAATATCCAGCGTTAGATCCCTTTCCTGCTTGTGCGCAGTCCTCACCATCGCGGCTACGGTCCCTGTTGCGAGATCCAGGGGCTGGGAGGAAGCGCCCTCATCCGGAGGAGCATCGGCGGAAGACCTGAGCTTCCTGAACTTATTGCCTATCTTCTTGCGAACGGCCATGGTGATCCAGTATGTAACAGGAGTTCTAGTTGTTGGATAGATGTGCGTCGATGATGGCGATAGTCAGAGGGCGCAGGTGGGAGGGAGAGCGAGCAGACTCGGTCAACAGCTTTCCGGGACACTATGCAGTTGAGATACCTTCATCGGTGCTATAGCTCTGGGCGCTAAAGCGGGAGCGTTGCGGTGATCTACTGATGCTCGTGAGAGCGGACGGGAGGCAAAGCTGCATCGGCGACGGCATGGTGTTGGTGAGCATGCATGAACAGCGCGCGAATGTCGTGCATCGCTGCTCAACGTTTCAGGGTCCATCCATATCCATCCGTGAGCTTCCCGACTGCATTCGCCTTAACCTCCGACCAGCCGATAGCTCTCTACCCACCACACCGCTTATCTCGTGCAAGCTGCAACACGCCGCTCACGACCTCTCGAAACACCGGTGCCAACAGTGACCCGTCTCAGCACACTGCTCATGTGCATGACCCGTCGCTGGACGAGGTTCTCCCGCCCGGACGCTGTTTCATGTGAGGCACGGTTCCGGCCGACTGGTTCGTCCTTGTGGGGAGATGAAGGTGAGTACGTACAACCTAATTCTCTCCTGCGGCCTCCCAAGATGCCGAAACTTCTCGCGCCGGCGGCGATGTGCCTCGCTAGCTTTAGCTCCATCGTTCACTCCTCCATCCACTCCCTCCTCTGCGCCTGACGACGAAGGGCACGAACCAATCCTCCTGCTTTTTGCGACCTCCTAAACCCTTCGCCGATTCTCTCGTCGTGCCGTACTGGCTCGCAGCACGCTGTACGACATCCTTTCCCGCGAGAGAGACGCGCGGGTCTCCCGCCGGGCGGCGCAGCCCCCCCCCCCCCCCCCCCCCCCCCCCCCCCCCCCCCCCCCCCCCC